CCCGGGCAGCGGAAATCCAGGTGGTGCCACGGGCCCTTCGGGGTGCCTGCCGGAGGTACCCTGCCGCCTCCACAGGTGTTTCTGCTGCGGGACTGGGGTTACACCTGCTGGTCACCCTGAGCCGGGCCAGCCAGCTTCTCTGTCCCAGGAGTCTGGGGAGAGAACCGAGGGTAGACGCCTACTCTCTCCTCTTGCTCCTGGTAGGAAGCAGAGGATACCTGGGGTCTGCCCGGCCCGTGCACAGCACAGCCGCAGAGAGAGAGGCAGGCACGGGCCACCTCGGGCACTCAGCGGGCACGGCGTGCCTCCTGTGTGCCTGGCACCGGGGATGGAGCAGAGGAGGGAGGAGGACGGCATGTCTGCCCTCGGGAAGCTTCTATTTTGCAAAGATGAAGAGAGAGAAGAGAAAAAGAGAGACCATCTGATTTCCGACGGTTCCTGACTCCCATCTCTGCCCTCGGGTCCGTCTTCCCAGCATGCTCCCCTTCTTTTGCGTCAGGGGTCAGACCAGGTTCTGTGGCCCAGTGGTGCGGTTAGGAGCAGACTAGCTGTGCGCCCAGGAGGCGGGGGAGGCAGGAGAGGCTCCGAGGCCAGGACTCACGGCAATATCCTTGGGGGAGGTGAAGGTGACCCGGAATCTGGGCTGTGAGGCACAGGTGAGGATTCAGAGGCACAGGAAAAGTGACGTGTTAGCTGGTCGTGGAACACGCTTCCATTTTTAAAAATAGAAAAAATAACTGTATTTGTATCATTGCAGTGTTACCTGTAAGATACCCAAACGGTGTCACATAGGACGCGGAACTCCTATCCTTGCCACAGTAAAACCCTTGAGTGCCATTCACTGGAGATGAGTAGAGGCAGAAGTTTGGGGTGGATGGATGGATGGATGGACGGACGGACGGACGGACAGACAGACAAGCGGCGGGGGGGGGGGAGGTGGGCAGATGGATCGATGGGTGGGTATGAGCACCAACGAGATTGTATTGTATTTACTGCCCTGTAAGCTCCGTTTAAAACAAAAATGTGGTAAGAACACTAAGCCTGATGAGATCTACCCTCTTAGGAAAATTTTCAGTGCACAATACAGTGTAGGTAGCCGTAGGCACGATGCTGTATGGCAGCTAGCTCTCCAGAACTTTCTTACTGTGTAGCTGAAACTTCACACCGGTGAACAGTAATGCCCCACTGCCCCTTCCCCAGCCCCGCCCCCACCATTCTGTTTCGAGAGGTTTGACCGGTTCAGGGAGCTCCTGTAAAGGAGATCATGCGGTCGTCTGTCCTTCCGCAACTGGCCATTTCTCTTCGCGCAGGGCCCTTCCATGTTGTCGCGTCCGGTGCCTTGCGTTAGCAAAACAGCTCCTGGGTTTTTTCGCCAGTAAAGCTCTGACCTGCTGGTTTCATCGGTCATTCCTTCCCCCGAGGGCAAGAGGGTCCAGCTCAGGTTTCACCGCTGCCGGGTCACTTCCATTTAACCGCAAACTGGGTTTCAGTGAGGCCCCAGGCGGTAAGGTCCGGTTTTTCCTATCAAGCTCCTATTTCCTGTGCAAATCTTTTCCAGCCGATACTGGGCCCGGAGGCCAGAACGAGGACACGGCAGGTAACTTCCGTGTCACCAGCCAGTGACGCACCAGCCCAGGACACTCCACTGGTCTCCAGGTACAGAGGCGGGACCCCACGTGCGGACCCGTTCACGGGCCCAGGCAGGAGGTACCGGGGCCACTGCACCTGCTGCTTCGCGTTCATGGGGAGGCCGCACCTGCAGATAGGCGGGCATGAGGACCTCATCTGCAGCGACAGCTTTATGCTGTCTACAAGGCCACTAGACGGCAGAAATTCTGTCATCACAGGCAGTGGGGGGCGGAGGCGCGAAAGTGAATCTTCCAGCCACTAAAAAAGCAACTTTATTGAGATAGAATTCACATACCTTAGAATTCATCCACTCAAAGCGGATAACTGGTCTTTAATATATTCACACAGTCGTGCAACCATTCCCCTTGTTTTAGAACGTTTTGTCAGTCCCAAAGAAACCCTGTGCCCATGAGCGGTCACCCCCTTCCCCCACGCCCAGCCCCTGGCAACCACTAGGGTCCTTTGTGTCTCTCTCTGCATGTGTCTGTTTTGGACATCTACAAATGGAATCCCACAGCGCGTAGGCTTTTGTGTCTGGCTTCCTTTGCTCAGCATATTTTCAAGGTGCAGCCGTGGCGTAACGGGGGTC